AACCTGCAAAGGAATCGCCAATCACCTCCACTAACCCCAGCTGTATTAACTAAATCATGTTCATGGCCATAGCTTGCATGGCATTATGACATTTTACAGGATCAGGACCCTGACACACTGATATCTAATTAATATGGCCAGTCACACTGGAAGCATGCAGTGCACCTTGCATGCCCTGTACATGGACTGGACTTTTTGTTTAGAGTGTAGGCTAAACTGCATTTCGCATCATGTCGAGCGATGGCGAGCCTAGACGCCGTATAGACCCATCAATAGTACCTCAGAATACCCTACTAAACTAACGTTAGAGACACGAGAGAAGGGGTGTAAAAAAACTGAGACCTACCAGTCAGTATTGCCCATTCGCTGTTCCAACCAATAGTTCTCTGGTGTCTGAAACGCCGCGGACTCCAAGAGCTCCTCTTCAGACAAATATTCGGACTCAAATTGGTAACCAAGCACAACACCGTTTTACCAAACATGCCATACATCTTTACTGTTATGTTTATAGAGTCCAGACTACCGTCAAAAGAGGAACTTGAAAAGCTACCAACACTGGATAATGAAGAACACGCCATAGCCATAAGAAACAACACTGACACTAACACAACTCATGACGTCATCGTAACTAATTCCAAGAGATGGCGCTGCGAACAGTATTTTAATGTGTAAATTAGCAGACGACGCATATTTCGGTAAAAGAATGCTTCAAAGCTGTATTTTTAGACAGATTTGTTTTTTTTTTTTTTTGTGCAACAAGTTGCTTTTGAAAAAGTAGTATCTCGGCAATGAAGAAATGCAAACTCGTGCACAAGCTTGGTGGTTACTCTTTAAATGTTCATTTATTTATTTTTTGTTATCATTTTTATTATTGTTATTATCATTAATACAATTAATATAATCATTAGCATTATGATTATTACTATTATTATCATTATCTTTATCATCATCTTTATTACTATCATTAATATTATCTTGAGGGCGATTGTGATTGTGATTATTATAATAATGGTTATTATTATTATTATTATTGTTATTATTATTATTATCATTATTATTATCATTACTATTATTATTGATAATATTCTCATTATCATTATTACTATCATTGTAATTATCATTATTATTATTATCATAATTATTTTGTTTTACATTTTCTATGCACTATCCCTTACTAACTGTGCATAACTCAAGGTTCAAAATGCTTTCGATAAGACATTTTTTAACATTTATTTGGAAACTGCTGTGGGAGAGAGAACAGGTGTGACGTGCGTGTGCATGCAATTAGCGGTCTATAAAGCATTGACATCGTATATAAAGGAGGCAGGCGAAAGTGCGCAATTAGTTTCCTCGTTGTTAGGCGCGCTTCCCCTGGTCTCTTGTTCGAAAATCCGCCCACAGATGGCTTCAGCTCTTACTTACGTCGCCGCTGTTTTATTGGTAATGAATGAATGCAAGAATGGATTTTTATGTTTTTCTTTCTTTCTTTCTCAGTCTCTATTCTCACTCTCTCTCATATATGTATATGTGTGTGTGTGTGTGTGTGTGTGTGTGTGTGTGTGTGTGTGTGTTTTTATACATACATATATACATGTGTATATATATATATATATATATATATATATATATATATATATATATATATATATATATATATATATATATATACTTATATGAATACACACACATACACACATATATATGTGTGTATGATATATATACATAAATATACATATATATCTATATATACACATATATATACATATATATGTATATATACACATATATATATAAACACTTATATACATATATATGTATAGAGATACATAGATATATATAGAGATAGAAAGATAGATACTCAAATAGATAGAGAGTGAGAGAGAGACATGGAGTGAGGAAGAGTGAGAGAGAGAGAAGGAGTGAGGAAGAGTGAAAAGAGAGACAGAAAGAGGAAAAGAGTTAGAGAAATATCGATATAAATAGAGATAGAGATAGAAAGATAGATAGATAAACATATATGCATATATATGCATATATATATATATATATATATATATATATATATATATATATATATATATATATATATATATATATATATACATACATATCATATATATACATACATACGTTTATACACACATATATATATATATATATATATATATATATATATATATATATATATATATATATACATATATATATATTCACAAAAAGATATGTGTATATATATGTATATATATGTACACACATACACACACACATATATATGTATATTTATATATATATATATATATATATATATATATATATATATACATATATACATATATATATATATATATATATATATATTGCATATATATATATATATATATATATATATATATATATATATATATATATATATATATATTTCATATATATATATATATATATATATATATATATATATATATATATATATATATATATATATATATATATGCAACTGCCG